CCTAGAGTCTCATGGGTTATAGCCACTAGTTGCTTTAGCATAGGTTTAGTCTGGCAAGATTGATGTTGGGTTCAGCCCAGTAACGAAGCAATCCAGTACAGTTCAGTTCCTTTATTAGCTCGCACCTAATAGACAAAATCTCGCCAACCCTAACCCTAACCCTAACCCCTCCTGACAACCTTGAACTTCCATTCCAGAATCTTCCCTGCTCATGCCATCCATTACACTTCTTCACTCACACATGCAATTTTCAGGAGGTTCCAGAGCTCTTTCTGTCGTTTCTCCTGAAGCCAGACAACTGTTTTCTCATCTTCGTGCATCAGAGTCATCACCTCATCCACCTTAGGAAACAATTCCAGTGCCTTCTGCTTGCAGACCACTGTATTACTGAAAAAAGTGACAGCCAAATCCCCTATTAGCAGTTGTACCACAGGAGGCCAGGATGTTACAGTTACCTTTAGCTCTCTATGTACTGATGGTATTCCCCCAATCCACCCGTATTCCAAGTAACCAGCCCACTGTCCTCATTAGAAGGCATCTTGAGAGTCTTTCTTACCTGAGCTGAACATAAAGGAGGCGGACCTTCTTTTCAAATGTCTGGATTGCCTGTAGGAGCAACCGAACTACTTCTTGGCTGTCCCCACTAGTCCTTTGATCTAGAGGAGAATGAGAAGTATGCAAAACACGATGAACTCTTTTGGACAAGAGAAGAGATAAAAGAGACACAGCTAAGTTCTGCTGCTGCTGGAGTGCTGAAGAGCAGCTGTGCTACCCTGGCAGCCTTCAATGCCTTGGGTCCACAGCGCCCAGAATTCCCAAGTACAAGTCTTGGGTTGTCACACAAAAGGAAATAACTACAACATACGATCCAGTCGTATGATACCGCTGTGTTATAGGGCTGTGCAGTGCTTTCTATTCTAAAAAGTTATTGTGGAGCATGCAAATGGAGCACTTGTGTGCAGCTGCTAAAAACAACTGTTCCCACGATTGTATAAATCAAAGGATTCCACACCCCGACTATTTGAGTTCAGGAACAAAAAGGTTACACCCCTAATTTATGTGATTCGTCACGTCACCAAACGTGAAAGAAGACTCATATTTACATCTAATATGGCACGATTATATGTTACGTTACGGTTCTTATTGCAGATGTCTATTTATTTGCATTCTCTAAAATGAGTTAGAAATCCGTTTTCTTTCTGTGAAAGCATGAAAAAAAATACAGATTTTTACCATCCCTTCCACATAAAAAAGTGAGTTATGTCACATTAACTTCCGGGAATAGCAACAGTGCTTTATGCTTTGTGAAACCAAATCCAGATTAAGAAACTGGAAAAAGAGAAGTCTGGAGTATGTTAAAGTGACAGAAGATTTAAGCTTGAAAATTGTCCCTGGATAGCACTACTCCTGGTTTTAGATATTAGGTGGTCTCTGGAATAAAGTATGAAGCAAGATTCCAATGCTGTAAAATATTTACCTCTTGGTTTTTCCCTCAGTTTCCGATACAAATCCCTTGCCTGGTCCTCCCTATTTAAGGAAAAAAAAAAAAGGCAAGAAAAAACTGAGGAATAAAGATCTCAAATATTGCCTTCCAGGAATTGTTTTCTGTGGGAATGGGTGAGACAGGCTTAATTCTTCATATATGGCCAGGGTGATGGAGAAAACATTCTACCAGTCACAAAGGAGCTCTCCTCCCCGCCCCAAAAAGGATAAAGCAACTGCTACAATGCAGTTAAGGAGGAAGAATGGAGTAAGTCTTTGACTCTGTTCTAGGCACGTAGTCCTGCCAATTCAGTCACATTCTTCTCTGTCTCTTAAGGAGGAAAATCAGGACTGCTTCAGTGAATAGAAAATGGATCCTAGTATGATTTATGGTTCAGCAAAATTTGTGTCCTAAATTCCCCCTGTTCCAAATTGCAGCCCTGGCAATACAGAGCGCAGTAATTCAACATTTTCAGTCAACTCAATTCTCCTTCAATAACATCGCTACAAAGAAAAGCGTTTTGAAATGCGCAGTTTCAGATTCAAGTGTGCCCCATGTGATTCGTCATCCTCCTCTTGAATCCCTTTTGGCTACAGCCTTTATTGCAAGACTGTTTCTTTCCACAACCCATCTCCCCTTTTTCTCTGCCTCTCTTTTGTGATGGTCCTCAGTCTTGAGATGGGGAATATCATGTGCAAAGCCTCACTGTGCTTCAGCAGCCCTCCAGTAAAGTTAGCAAATAAAAACATTATCCCTCATTTACCAGTTCAGGTGAATCTCAAGAACTGGGGCCCATAACAGACTCACATGAAGAAAGCTCCCCTGAACTCCAAAGATTCTTAGTTCAGGATACACATTTTCACATCTCTCAAGGAGTACATGGTTTTGAAATGTAAGTGAGACGAGAATGGAGCAAAATTATACATTCATTACAATGAAGTGATACCTGTGTTCCTCATTTTTAAAAACAATTATTTAATTTGTGCCACACACTTTTTTCTCAGATGGCACTTGCATTCTAACAAAATTTTCACCACTATCCACCCTTCAAATAAATTAGTGTAAACTTGTCTTAACAGATGAACCACAGGGGAATCTGTTATTCATGAACATCCATCACTGTGGCAATTTACGTAATTTGTATCACATCATTTCATAAATAATACGATTTACACCGTTTGCATGATCATACAATGACATCTTTAATGCAAATGTGCTCTGCTACATGTGAAGTCTGTTGTACTGAGATCTAGTAAATCCAAGTTTCACTGTACTGAAATAAATTGTTGCTATTCCAAACTACAGGGATGGGCTCATTTGACTGCAGACATAGCCCAGCAGGCCAAGAAAAACACTGTCCAGATCAGCCTAACCTGCTGATTCTCTATGGCTGGTTCTCATGTCATTTTAGGACTTCATTTAATCGTGATGTATCAAGATGGCTAAATTGACTTCCTTGATTAGAGAAAAGACAATATCTACATTTATGGCTGACTGGAAACCCCTTATAGTTTTTTTTTGCATGAAACAGAAAAAAATGCACACGACTTGTGGTTTTGATGATTAGAAAAAAATTAGGTAATAGAAAATAGTGAGTGTTTTTTGTAATCACAGATTAAGAGATAACTTTGTAATCATATTTATATGTGCTGCAAAGAAAATTGGAAGCTTCTTCTATTTCTTTTTATCTCTTCCTTCTGCATTTTTGTTTTTTTCTTTGTTTTCTTTATTCTGTATCAGTTTGTGTTAGTTTTTATGTTCTCTTTAAAACTTTTAATAAAATTTATATTAAAAAATTAATTGCGATGTGTTAAATAAACTACAACTTAATACAATTTCATTATATTAAGACATGAACTGTGATTTACAAAACACAGTGGCGAGGTTCATATAGCAGAACTATGTTATGACTAGGTGCAATACATGAATCCAATCATGTGTAGGAAGCAGGAAAAAAAACTTGGGGAAGCATTTGAGCATGTCACACACAGAGAAGCAGATCAGATGAATAGGTGGTCTTTTGAAACTTTGGTAACCCATAAAAACAAACTTGAGAAAATACAAAAAACAACTGAAATCAGTTACAGCAGATTTACAGTGCTGCCCATCAGTTGCAATGAGCTTTAGATGTACCAAATTTTCTACTGTTCTGTTCACATGATACATTAAAATAGGGTGGAATGGACAGCATTTCTAAGCCCAGTAAGTGGGGAGGGAGTCAGTTTTAGCCGAAATCAACTTGGGGCTGCTTGGGTTTAATTCACTTCCCCAATGAACTATGTTGTGTGAACAGACACAAAATAAAGGATGACCATCTGATCTAGTGGCCAACACAGAGCGAAATTGCTATAAAAGTCCTGCAAAAGCATCGGTGCTTTAGGACTCCATCCTGATACACAGATATGTTTCACTCCCAACTTTTGTCCACACTGACTTTCATCATAGTAAAGCCATCACAGATCTATTATTTTTCTTACTGAAAACTACAGAGACAACCTCCCAGGCTTTTTTCTGGTGGCTAGGATATCATCTAAGATAGCTGCTCCAATCTGATGGTGCCCAGGGATAAATGTTTGCTCCGAGGGAGCAGCTAACTGGATCCACCGTGCCATGTCAACACCACTTATTAATTATTCACAGTCCTGAAAAAGGTGGCCATTTTCTGCTGCTCCAAACTAATAGATATTGGAACAGATCATTCTTTTAAGCAGGATTATGACTGCTAGACAAGTAGCACCCGAAGCAACTACTCACAGATCATCCAAGGAGCTCCCTTGTTTCCGGCCCTGTGGGATTCTCTGTAGTTCCACAATATCTGTCTGCAGGGCCATTGTCTTCTTCACCAGCTGCTCCACTTCCTCCTCCTTTCAGAGACAAAGAAAGGGAACAAAGGAGGAACAGGAGAACAAGAGTTGTTTGGCCTTAAAGTGAGTAATATGCTTCGAACTCCAGTTTAGCCAGCTGGTAACCATTTATTTTCAGCTCTAGAATTATCTGCTGAGTACCAAATGGCTGGCTCACCCAATATGCCAAGACAATGCCGGGGTATTCACAACTTGTTGAACCACAAATCACCCAACACCATCTTAGCTCGGCCTGGCATGCTGCATGAACCCAACCTCTATGTGAATTAGCCCATCTCGCCAGAAGTTGATATACATTAGCCTAAATTTTGCTTGGATTAATGTTTATCTCTAGATAGAAATTTAGAGCATCAAGCATTTTTTGCGGTTCTAAAGCCAAAGACCAACCTAAGTAGAATTAAAACAGATTTTCACTGTTACACTGCGAAAGATGTCTGAGAGCATAAATCAGCTTAACATGTTCAAAGCCCTTGAGGGATAAATAATACTTGCTGCTTACAAATTCTGAACTAGAACACGAACAACGATGTTGATACAGCAGAGTGCCAATAAACCCCAGAATCAAATGCCATTGTGAACACTGTGTTTCACTAGGCAGCTTTGGGCAAAACTCTGCCTCTCAGCTTATTTGCCACAGAAGAACAGCAATACAGCTGCATTTTACAGGACAGATACAGTATGGAGCCGCGGCCTGCTTTACACACAGAACTAAGCAGTATTGTGGTTTGCTCATTAATGTTACATGCAGGCCCACCCATCTTGGCTTGTTCAACAAACCAGGGTTAGTATCCTGATTCAGAGCTATGAATGAAAGCAGCCAATGGGTGTGAAGTGCTTTAATTATTCAGAGGGCAGAGAAAAGGGGACTCAATAATTTATATAGCATATTGGATTATTACTGAGACCTCTTTCCTTTGTCCGCCTATAATTTCTCAGTTCCAGCTTCTAATGCCTTATCAGCTCTCTACCCCTTGTAAATTCTTGTAAATTCTTTTTTCATATTCCCCCATGTCCCCAAGTCCAAGGCTTCAGAGAGAAAACACCGAAACCTCCCCTACTCAATCTTCCTAGAGGGACTCAGCCATAGTACCTGTCTATTTGCTCTCAAATATTCTTCCTTCAGTAACCTCGGCCAGCCTAGACAGTGGGGCAAAAAAGTATTTAGTCAGCCACCAATTGTGCAAGTTCTCCCAC